GACTTGCCACGTCATACTCGCGTTCGCGCGTCAGTCAACATCACATGATCACTGCAACGCCATGTGGGCCTAGCTGCTGTTCGTTTCTTGAACTCCCACACCTGAACTCCCAAAATACTCCTATACCTACACTCCGGGCCTTTCCAGCCCCACCCCCTTGCGACTTCCTAACGGCGTCCGTTTAAGCCCTAATCCTACGGCCTCAGCGCCGGCACGACGCCAGACTTCCTGCCTGTAGCGAGGTCCGTTTGCAGTACGTTACACTATATGCTTGTTATATGATGTTGACTGATGTTGTTATAAGCTTGTTAAGTGACGTGAAAATATCGAAATGGCTGTAAGAAGAATATCTGTGTTTCCTCCTCTCATGTAGTAATCTCCCGTATTTCACAACGTTTCTTCGGCCTGTAAAGTAAAAGTTTGTTAATGAGCTCCTATACCCTACTCTCCAGAGGAGTCGCCACTACCTTGGATTGCCATCTCGAGACGTCTCTTTCGACCAGATCAGAGGCGGGCACGATTTTGACCCCTGTGACCCAGCGGGCACATCCACCAAGGTGTGGGCTGCTGAGGGCAAGTGAGGGTAATTTGAGAGCGAAAATATCGCCGTTAGTTCCATAAGTGAATGAGGAAAGTTGTTGAATGTTCTATCTATAGTTCTTCAATGCTCTATATCTTTGTACTAACGCCTAAATTCTCTCTTTCTACAAACGCCAATGGTGGAGTGCTATCTGCTGGCCTCTTTCAAAACTGCTTAGCCACCTACTTAGATCTGTCTCTGTTCGTTTAACGCTGTATAAAAATTGCTGAAATAGTTTGTATGCGTCTTTGTTCTTATTATTTTGAGTTTAATGTTCATTATAAATTAATAAACACGGTCGCTGAAAAATTAAATTTGGTTGTACATGAATTACTAAACCAGCTTTAAAACATCCATGGTTTCTGATCTATGATTTATTAACATTAACGTTTTAATTTTGATAATCGATAATTGGTAACATGGGTGTTTTGTTATCGCTAACTGGCATCACCACTAGAATTCCGTACCGACAGCCACTGATAAATACATTGAACAAGGATGAATACGATTGAAAGTGTATACTAACTAATTTCAGTGCCTCTACTGTGCAGCAATCTCTTAATGAGACAGTCTCTCAATTGATATCAACTTCACTACTCTCGTTGTTTCTATGAATGTTATATCACCGAACTACTAGTTACGCTTAACACAAATTACGGATATATTTAGGATCATCGTTTGTTTTATGTCGAAAAAAGCAGAGTTATTACCTGTGATCATGTTGTGCAAATAGAGTCCCTCGACGAACATCCACATGAACATGGCAGTTCGAGCGTATTCCAGCAGCACATATCCCACTTCGCAGAGTCCGGGCTGCAATTACAATCATTGCACGAGAATATTAGGCGACTATATTACAACCATAATCGTGGTATAGGCGTGGTTGCGTAGGCTTCTGCGGCCGGAGTTTGTGTTGTCTAGACTATCCGGGACAAGCCGCGTCACTGACATGGTGGCTAACGTTTGACCAGCGTATTGTGGCCTTCTTCAGAGCGTACTACAGGGACGAGCCGTGTCACAGTACGAGCCGCACAGCAGTACGCTCTGAAGAAGGCCACAATACGCTGGCCGAAACGTTCGCCACCAGTCAGTGACGCGGCTCGTCCCGGATAGCCTAGACAACACGTGGTATAAGCCTGACAATTCCTTATTTACTAATTCTCTTTCTGACATACTTTTACATATAGTATGAACACATTAGTAAAATTTTTAATTTTTACCAACATAGTTGTAATTCACGCAATTTCCTAGAAGGACATTATTTATTTGTAATTTGTGTTATTTATATAATTCTTTATAATATTGCAAACAATAGTGATGAAAGTTATTTTATATTGTCATATATTTATTATATTTATATAACCATTTAATTGTGGACAATTAAAACATTCAATTCATCAAAAATGCTAATATCTAAGCAAAAAAGTTTAGTATGAAGGCAATTTAGAATTGATCAATTTTTGGGAATAGATAAATTAAACACATAATAGAGCGTAAAAGAGTTAAACCAGCAATATCCCAACTGACACTCGTACTTGGTATGTAGGGAGAATAATTTTCAATGAAACATAAACAAACGCAACAAGAAATACACGGTTGCTTTGGAATCATAAGATCAAAATATTTTTTTCATTTTGGTATTTCCAGATCCCACTATTCACCTCGTAACAAAACAGAAATTTTTTTTCAATCTGGCCACCCAACAAATTCATTATGTGTAATGCAATTTTGTATCTCAGTGTTTTGAGAAACGTACGTGGAAACAGAATGAAATGAGCTTGGTGCATTGAAACTTATGTTAGTCTAATAACGTTTCATTGAATGACTTTCATAAAATAAATTCGAGGAAAAAACAACGAAAAAGCAAACCAGAAGCAGGCGATATGAAAACAAACGATCCGTGCAATTATTTTATGGGAAATATAATTATGAAGGAGATTGAAGCGGAAGATATGTCAGTTTATGAAGCAGCTGCGTGGGATTGGTGCTGTGTGCAAACAATGGCTGTTTGTGACACTTGCAGGGGGTGGTAGAGGAGGGAGGGAACGGGACGCTAGGGGTTGGGGTGGAGAGTGAAGGGGAGGGAATGGATTAAAAGAGCAGGGGGGAAGGGAGGGAGGAGAGGGTAAAGGAAGGGCAGAAGAGTGAAGGGGGAGGAGGGGGAAAGGAAGAGGAGGGAATGGATTAAAAGAGAAGAGTAGGGAGAGAGAAAGGTTGGGGTGGGGAGGGGATGAAAAGGGAGGGGAAGGGGAGAGGAGGCTCACCGTGTTGATGCCCTGCAGGCCGGTGCGCAGCCCGACGCCCGCGCTCGCCGCGCCACCGCGCAGCACCGCCTGGTCGATGTACAACGTGAGCCGGATCACCACCTGGATCACCATCGCCACGAACAGGTGCTTGTGGATGCGCGTGCGGTTGTTGCGGAGGCTCCTGCGACAACGCACAGCGCGCGCGTGCACTCAGCGCTCGGCGCTTAAAACAGATGCACCTGTTTCAACCGGTCACTCCGGCCTGTGTCACACGAGCGTTGCGTCGACGCGCATTAAGTAATGCGCGGAACGTCCGAAGCGCTCGTGTGACGTTTCAGATAAGATACAGTCGTCTTCTATGATTTTCGAATTTCAGCGCAGCCTCTACGTCACCGGAAATTAGACTTTCCAATATTCGAAGCGCTGTTGTAAACCGGAAGGTCATTAACGTCATTGGTGAGATAAAAAAATAGCCTAAAATACGGTGGTATTCTGGTCTCACATTCCGGGTGTGGTTCAAGTTTTGAGACAAGACAGCGGACAGTAGATGCCAGTCAACTGAACTCACGAGGACAGTCAACCGCGCAGCGCAGTACAAAAGACAGTCGTGCGTGGTCCTGTGCTTGTAACAAATACTATAGACACAATACAGGACTGTTATGACAGCCAAATTTATCGCCTCTTTTCGTTGCAACTCCAAGCTTGTCTACGGAAGCCAATCTTCGCAGCCAATACTTTCGGCGTGTAAAATTTTGAAAATTGCGGCGCGAGCCTCGACTCGTCGTAATAGGATCTCTCATTGCTGACATGAGATGTGGTTAAGTTACAAGGCATTAGAGGAATTGTGGTTTTCATGTGTAAGATAGTGTATTTTTCATGAAGGTAGCAGTTGTTAAATTCTCACTTGTAATGGCATCTAAAAGTGTAGACATAAATTCAGAAAATTAATGGAAATAATTCTTCGTCATGGCTTATAACGGAATGTACAGAGAAGCACAGAGCGTCATTCAAAGATAATTTTGTTTGTTTAAAGAAGCAGAGGCGAAAGCACTCTGTTTTTCGTTTTTGCATATTTGAAGGCTTTTTAGTAATTATAATCTATTTAGTACAGGTCTTAGGTCTTGAGAGACAGTCTGACCTATGAATAATTTGTATGAAATTACTTTATTGTTTCGGCCATCAACTAGACATTTATATGTACTTACAATTAATCTAGTATACTGGTAGTCACTCCAAGCATATCGTTATGCGTTGTTGTTGTTAATTATTGTTGTGTTAACCCATTTAACAGGATAATAAAGGCTACAAAGAAGAACATCGGAAATATTGTTAGTTATTGTTCATGATATTTTTGAAAATAAACCATGTAATAAAAGATTTGTTTGTGTACTTATCCTTACAGACCCACCCACTACTTTCCTCTTGCTAATTCATAACAGGACCTTGAACCTTTCTCATACTATGAAGTGGAAAGAACATACAGACCAGTGAACCTGATGTCGTGCCCTGGAATTTTGGTGACAAATTCAACCTTTTGGACATCTGTGGTTTCTAATAAATTATTATTACTATCATTATTTTTTAAAATTTCTTTTATGTTCATGTAATAAATTTTATATTTTTGAAATCTAAAAGTAAATGTACAGGACCGCAAGCAAAACAAAACAGTTCTTTCGTAATTTATTATCTGCATTTAATTGGAAAATAAGTATTTACATAATAAAGCACTTACAAAGCGTAGTCTGTAAGGACAGAACTTCAGATTGTGATTCGTTAAAAAGGAAAAACAAGTCATTAAAGTGAGGTTATCTTAACATGCATGCTTTTTCTCAATGTTAAAGCAGTAAATATGTATCATGAATGATTGTTCTCACTTCAAATGATCATTAAATTCAAATTTTTATTTAATATGTCTCAATTGCGCGAATTAGGGTAAGTGCGCAGATTATCTTCCCCATACGTCACATGCAGTTTTTGCTGTTTTTTGACGAAATAAATCTAAATATATTAAGTTTATCCCCACTGTCATATTTAATATAAATTAAGTTTGGTTGTATTACTCGCGCAACTTCTCTTGAACGATGGATTGAAGAAATGCGGGCAGAGTCGGGGTATTAGTTACGAAATCGGCCACTAGATTTTATGAAGCAATGCCAATCTCTGGAGAATCAGTCGTTCCTTCACATCTTTCTTAATAATTTGCGTTCGAACTTTCTCAGGATTTAGAAGTTTCTCCTGTGATGGATCTTATCCTGCTTTGGTCATTTCTTTAGATTTTTTGGAAAAAATCACGGACAGAAGTTTTCGTCTTCAACAGAAAATAGTTTCTATTTCATGCCAGTGAAGTGTTTGGAATGTCAACAGTGCTCGCTGCGAGCTTTTGCCTTGAACTGTTTATTGTGTCCGAGAGGGGGAAGCAAGGTCATCGTTCAAGAAAAGTTGAGCGAGTAATAACATACCGTGAAGTACTTTAATAGTTTATTATGCTTCCTTATGGTCTCTTTTCCGCGGCCTTGATGCCATGGAGAGACCATTTGGGGTGAATACCAGAATTCGTAAGATTAGAACGCGAAAGGATGTAGGTATTGTAATGGCTTAAAGGCCTTCGGACTAGCCACATAGGATCAAGTAAGCTAAATTGTTTGTAATAATTACCTATTAAATAAAAATAAATTATGCTTCTAGTTTAAAAATGTTATACTTTATTTCAAAATACATTTTTTTAAAGACGAGACAATTTTCTAATTTGTGCGAATGCAATAAATCAACATTATAAACGAATCACATACGCTGATTGTTTTATAAAATAGCATTGTAAATTTATAAAAGAACCTAAATTAATTTTGGAAAAAATTTCAAAAGCAGTTTTCCAATTGTTAACATAAGATATTGGTATTATGAGGTCACGTAGCCTCAGCACTGACAAGCGATGACGGGCGCTGAGGACTTGCTCTGAGGACGGACAGTGAGGAACGGTCATTGAGGGGGCGGAGAAGACTGACAGTGAGGATGGATAAGGAAAGTGGACAGTGAGGGTGGGCGAGAATGAATGGCGGGGAGATTGGAACGTGCCAAAAAATGTCATTTCATAAAGTGATCTTTCATGAACGGTTTCTTGCAACGGTAACTATTGTTTATAATGCTGGAATACAAAAAAGTATTGAACATAAAACATTTATACAATATAAATTACGTTCTCTACATCATTTACAACAATATTATTTACATTGAACTTCATCATTCTGCGACACAATAAAGATGTTACGTTCAATAGAAGCAAAGGGAACTCATGAAAAGTGAAGGCGGTGAGAATCAGAATAATCTGAATTTCTCGCTCGCTTGGTTGGCAACTGTCATTTCATTATTAAAGGACAAGGGATCATAAAGTAAACCATTAAGTGTTGAATCAAATCAATTGTTACAAAACTCCTGTGTGTCGAATACAAGGGTGGTCAGCAGGGTTAATGGATTTGGTAAGTGCTCTCCAAACAACCGTTTGTTGATGTGGCGTTAAATAACGGTGTGATGAATTTGGGCTGGTGGGGTGACGTGGGATGGTGTGAGGTGATGTGAGTAAGAGTGATGGGTTTGGTTGAAGTAATGCCAGGCGAGAATTTTTTCCTGAAAAGTATTACGCAATTGTTATTTATGGCAATATGTATATATTATGTAATATAATATCCCGCGCTCTGGCAAATTTGTTTCGTTTCACCAAGTCCCACTGTTTTGGACGTCTGTCATTTGCAGTCGCGCACATTGCTATAAATGTTTTTTTCGAACGTTTTGTTGCGCCTACATGATGTCGTTAAATTCGTTCGTTTTGAATATGGTGAATGCAGTTTGAAACAACACATAGGAGCGGTGAAAAACTTTACAGTATTTAAAGCAACATTTACTATATTTTAAACTTCACCTGTTAACTTAACCTTCATTTCGTAGTTTGGAGTAACATCAGTTGTTATTTCCTCAAGAACACCTGTAATTAGTGAGTTGGAACTGTATAAAATAAATTTTATATTTGTTCGGAAGATTCAAAACACCTTTTAACTCTCTGAACACAAAATAAGAAAACTTTCATGAAGCCTGTCGCATATGACAAATAAATGAAAAGTAGCAAAATTCCACACACGACCAATGTACAACTTTCGGAAATCTACCTCTGAACATATTTCCTAAATATTTGAGTGGCTCTCTTTGATCTCCTCTTTTGCGGATGGAAGTTTTGGTTAAATGAAAAAAATCGTACTGAATTCTACTTTTTTGATACGTTTAAAGAATCATACATTGATTGATTGGTTATTTTGTTTTTCCCGGGCCGCGTCAACTGTTTTGGGTATTAGTGCATGTTTTTATCACGGGGGGAGGTAGTGTTCTCCCTCTTGATAACGAAATGTGGCGCGCCTCTAGCCGCTGCGACGCCGACCCACCCTATGCTTAAGGGATTTTTCCCATCCTAGTACTTCCCACTAGCGAGGCGACGCCCACTCCGGGATAAACACCCAACTGGTCTCCCGACATCTGTGGTAGTGTAGTACTGTAAGTCTGAGTGTAAGGGAGAGAGTAGGATAAGGAAGAGGAAGGGAAGATCGGGCGTGAACCCGTTTGTTCGGGTACTTTCCCGGCATTCGCTTGGTATTGGTATTGGTATCGGAGAACCCATGGAAAACTACTGATCAGAGCAGCCGGCCGCTAGAATTCGCCTCCAGAGATTCATACACAAATAAATAAAATGTTTACTAAAGTGTAAGACTTTGGGAATCTATACAGCACAATGGGAATGGATACCCTTTTTTACAAGCCTGTAAAGTAACACATTTATGATGTAGTATAGTAGTTCATGAAATGTTGAGCTTTTCCTGAACATTTCTTTCCACCTACTAGAAGCATCTATATTTAGTGGTTAATTTTAAGATTTTCACAAGAATTTATGTATTTAACCTTTTCTCCCGAATAGCAAAAATTGTTTACAATGATTTACAGGAACTATTATATTATATAGCAAAAAATACCTAATAAGACAGATTTAGTGTACGATTTTCGAGTTCGTATTTACTGAAATGTAATAAGAAAATTATACAATCAATTAATAAAAATATGAATATGGCACATATAAGACGTTAAAAAAGTAACTCAACAGTATTTTATAAAGACTCGTTTTAAGTAAAAAAAGTATTCAAAATC